ACTGCGCTCTCTCTCTCTCTCTCTCTCTCTTTCTCGCTCTCTGTCTCTATCCTCTATCCTCTCCCTCCTCCTCCATTCACTGTCACTCATATGCACATATGCATACGCCATCACGAATAAAGAAAAAATAAATAAAATTGCTATTCTGAAAAACCACCGTTGGGCCAGCCACTGGCACTGGGGTTACGGCGGCTGGATCCCACATGGCCAACTACATGGTCCAAATTCTGGACCTGGCAGCTTAAAAAAGACTGGGCACATGTGTGTGCATGCCAAAAATCATGAGAGGAGAATGGGGAGGAGATATTGCAGAGTGACTATCTCCACTGGGGGTGTGTGGGTATTTTCTCACTTTCTCTCCTGTTCTCGCTCTCTCTCACTCTCTCTCTCTCTCTCTCTCTCTCTATTCCTCTTCCTTTCCCTCTCCAGTGAGTGCACATCATGTACTATACAAAATTACCAAAAAAAAAACAAAAAAAAAAAAAAAAGAAAGCCACTGTTAAGAGAATGGAAGGGGGCTGGCAGGTGGCGTGGTGGTTAAGGGCGCTGGACTCCTCACTTTCTCTCTCTCTCTCTCTCCCCAAATTAAAATAAATAAGCAAATAAAATAAATAAAGTTAAATAAAATAATTCTTTAAAAAAAGAGAATGGAAGGACAAGCTACAAACTGGGAGATAATAGTTGTAAAGTATATGTCTAATAGTAGACTTATAACTAAAATACATTTAAAAACTCTCAAAACTCAACAAAAACCAAAAACCCCAATTTTAAAATCAGCAAAAGTTCTGACAGAGACTTCATCAAAGAATATATATATGGTTGGCCTGAAAAAAAAAAAAAAACTTAAAAGATCTTCACTATTATTTGTCTTTAGAAAATTCAAATTAAAACAAATAGCACTCTATACCAATTAGAATGGCTAAAATCTAAAACAATGACATCATCTAATATTGACAAGGATGTGGAGCATCAGGAATTCTCATTGACTGCTAATGGGAATGCAAAATGGTATAGCTACTTTGGAAGACAGGTTGGCGGTTTCTTATAAAGCTAAGATCTAGAAATTTTATTCCAAGGTGTTTACTCTTCTGATGTGAAAACAGATTTTCACACAAAAACCTGCATGAAAATGTTCATAGCAGCTTTATTCACAATTGCCATAAACCAGAAGTGACCAAAATGTCCTTCACAGGTAGATAGATAAATGATGGTCCTTATAATGAATAGTGTCCAGTAGTTAAAAGATGATGCACTATCCACTCGTAATAGGATAGAAGTGAAACAAACGCATATTGCTAAGTAAAATAAGACAGTCTGGAAAAGCTAGATACTCTATGTTTCGAACTATATGGCATTTCTAGAAAAAAAATAAATAAAACTAGAAAGATTTTAAACTGATCCAGGGTTTCCAGGCATAGGTAGGAGAGAGGAGTTGAACAGATGAAGCATGGGAGATTTTACAGGAGGGAAAAATTACTCTATGTTATAGCAATAGAAACTATCCTAATCTATGGTATGTTACTATAACTGTGAATGTCCTATAGTAAATACCTTTCAAAATCCATACAACTTTACAGGGCAAAGAATAAACCTTTATGTAAGCAACTTTTAAAAAAACAATTCAGGAGGTAGGAAAGCCCAGGGTGGAATGCGGAATATTATAGAAGAATCAAATATATAACAAATGCTTGAAGCAACCTCACCAAAGAGAAGAAAATACCAAGCTAGGTAACTTTGGAAACAATTATTTAGACTCTATAAGAATTAAGACAATTAACTAATACAAGACAAGGGAATTACAACAATATATAATATATATGAATATAATATACTCCAATCAAGTTGTTTCCCACAAGAGATACAGATTAACAATTCTGAAGTCTCTACACCTGTATAATGGAGTTAAATAATTAAACACATGAACAGTAGATGGTGGGAGGCAGGTGTCTCACTGTTGGTATAAGTAAAAGAAAGAGACTTGAATGCTGAATGGGCTACAGTGGGATACATCAGTGTGTACTCATGTCTACTGAACACAGACACAGACAAATGCGTAAGGGATTATTGACAGGTAAGTATACATACAGCTAGTACACACCTGTGCATGTCTTTGCACTGTCAATTTAGAGGATCTAGAAAACCATGAGTCTTTGAAAAAATGCTGATCAAATGACTGGAGCAAGAAAAAACACACAGGATGAACCTGAACCGTCTTGTAGTGATGGAAAGTAAGAAAGTAACAAAAACAATTACACGAAAAAGAACAACAAAAGCACTCCACAATGATAGGTGTATGTCAAAGAGACCTGGAGCTAACTCTAGAGCTTCTAATGGCCAAAGCTGGAACAATATAAGCAACAAAATAATAAAAGAATGTTGGATTCTAATCAAAGTGTAACATAAATACCTGTGAGTTATAATATATACTGTTATAAAAGACTGAATAAAAATTAGTGAAGAACAGACATTTCCAAATAGTATTTGTAGACACTCCTTCTTTAAGAAAGTAAAATATAACTTGCCACTCCTTATGTGTGAGCTATGCATGACTTCCTTCCAAAGAGTGCTATATGGAAAAGGAGAATGGAAGGGTAACCACAGAGTAGAGAATTCTGACAAATACCACTGGAAGCCAGGTGAATATCAACAGTGATAAAAGACACCAATCGCAGGTATCCTTGTTATGATGTGCTGAGAATCCCATTTAACCAATGTGGTCTTCTCTCTCAAACACATTAACATTGTCTAATCATAAGAAAAATGCCAAGGATCAGCAGATGGTGTAATGGTTATGACGCTGGACTCCCACATAGTCAATCAGTGTTCAAGTCTCGGACTCAGCACCTTAAAACTCAAGCCAGGCACGTGTGCATGTGTGCCCAAAATCCCAAGAGGAGAACGGAGGAGAAGGGATTGTGGCAAGGCCATTCTCTCTTGGGGGTGATTTCTTGCTTTCTGTCTCTCTGGAGAGTGTATGTGTCCTATAGCAAAAATCTCTTAAAAAAAAAAAAGAGAAGAATAATGTTGGGCAAATCTAAATTTATAGACATTCTATAAAATACCTGAGCAGTACCCCTTAAAAACTGTCCATGTCACCAAAAACATTAAGTTTCAGAAATTATCACAACCAAGGGGACATCCTAAGGAGAAACAATTGCTCAATATAGTATACCCTGAAACGATTCTGGAACAGAAAATGACATTGGGCAAAAACATAGGAAATCTGAATAAAGTATGAACTTCGGTTTGTAATAAAAAAGTACTAATTTATTCATGGTGCTGAATATATTTAGACCATATAATGTAAGCTATTAATAATAAGAGAAACTGGACACAGGATATATGAGAATTTTCTTATTGTCTTCAAGTAATTCCATAAATCTAAAATGGAACTAAAATAAAAAGCTTATTTTTTAAAGAGTAATCAAGAGCAAACCAATGAGCAAGAAGTACTTTCATATAATATGAAAATTGGTTCATGCTGCCCCTTCACTGGCTAGGATGACTATTCTCTGCCGCTCATGTTGCTAGGTTCAAGGAGGACAGCTGAATCACCTTCCCTGAAAGTCTGAGTCAAGATAAAATTTTATAATTTGATTGCACTGTACATGTAGAAGACAATAAAGTAACTAAAGAGGAAAACTAAGACCGTCAGTTTTAAAAGAAGGTCTATAAATCAAAACTGCAAAGATTCTATTTTTGCTGCTTAAACAAAACTTTCATCTCTTGGGACACCCAGTAGCACGGTGGTCAAAGCAGCTGGATTCCACTTGACTGCGCAGTTCAAGTCCTGGACCCAGGAGCTTGAAAAACATACTGAGATGGGGCCAGCTGATGGTGTGGTGGTTGGGGTATTGGATTCCCACATGGCTGAGCATGGTTCAAGGCCCATACTTGGCAACTTGCTTCCTCACTTTCTCTTTCTATTTCTCTCTGGCGTGAGCATGTGTTCCCTGTAGCAAATTTTAAAAATAGATGATGATAAAATAAAAATTAAATAAATTAAAAAAAAAGAAAAACATGCTGAGCAAGCATGCATACATGTCTAAAATCTCAAGAATGGAGGAGAAGAAATTGCAGCATGGCCATCCCTCTGGGGGTGGTGCTTTCTCACTTTCACTTTCCCTCTTGTCTTTCTCTGACAGGCACACACACCCTAAAGCAAATAAAAAAAAAAAAAAAGCTTTTATCTCTATCTTCAGGGCGCAAAATAAGCTTTGGAAAGTGACATAACCTCACCCTGTTGCAGCTTTTTATCCTCCCCTAAGAAATATACAAGGGGACCAGCAGTTAGCATAATGGCTATGTCGCTGGACTCCCACGGAGTCGACCGCGGTTCCTGTCCCGGACCCGGTGGCTTAAAACCCATGCTGGGTGTGTGTGCGTGTGTGCCCAAGATCCCGAGAGGAGAATGGAGAAGGGACTGCAGTGTGGCCATCCCCTCTGGGGGGTGATTTCTTGCTTTCTGTCTCTCTGTCTCTCTCTGTCTGGCGAGAGCACGCGCCCTATAGTGAAAAACCTCTCAAAAAAAAAAAAAAAAGAAAAGAAAAGAAATATACAAGGAGACTCCAAGAAGTTCATGGAAAAATTAAAGTATGAGTTTATTTTGGTGCAAAAAAATTGAAATTCATGCATAGTTTTTTGTATAACATACATTGTCCATAACCTCTTTGAAGAAAAAAATATATATATATGAATTCTTTGAAGAGCATATAAATAAATATATATATGACTCCAATCCCTAACTGATCACAACTGTGGGGTCAATATGTTCAAAATTATATCAATATTTTATAACTTCAGAATCTAACCCAGTGCTGTAGTAGGCCTCAATTAATATTTGTTGGATTTGTAAGTACATTATGATTAATGACATTTTCAGAGTTAACACATCAAAAAAGTTCTAAGACCACTAAAAAAAATTATTATAATTAAATTGACTTCCAGAACATTAATTACATGATTCCAGACACTACAAGTGTTTAAGTATATACTCTAACCAGGGATCTCCAAGCCCTGAGCGTAGATCAGTGCATGTCTGTGGCCCGTTAAGGGCTTCTCCCTAGCCATGCAGTGAGGGGTGGGTGGTGGGCAAGTGAAGGAGGCTTCATCTGTGTTTGCAGCTGCTTCCCACTGCTTGCATTGCTGCCTGGGCTCTCCTCCTGCCAAATCAGCAGTATCAGATTCTCATGGGAGGGTGAACCCTATTTTTGTGTGATTGTTTCATCATATAGTGAATGTGGTAGTGGTGGAAATGGGGTGCACAATGGATGTGGTGTGCTTCAGTCATCTTGGGACCAACCTCCCCTACCCTGCCCACAGAGGGATTGTTTCCCACAAGGCCCAGTCCCTGGTGCCGGGAAGGTTGGGGGCTGCTCCTCTAACCTAACTATCTTGGGCACTACATTTTTCTTTAAAAGGAAAAGAAAAACCAACAGTGTTACTGAAGATCATAAATGCACATTAAATTTTCATTCTTTGACATCAAACATAATGCAAGTTTAAATTAAAAGCTTCTCTAATTACAGAAACAAAATAGTCACATCAGAATGTCAAAGACCACAAACTACAGGAGGGCAGGGGCTGCATCTGTCTCATTCACCATTGCTCGTGTCCAGAACAGGTTTGACTTCAATTAGGTGTGTATCAGTTGAATACATAAACGAGTCTACATGTGACTTCAAATCATAACCCAACTTTGATATATTAAAACATCTTGGCCACCATTTTAGTAGAGTAGTCCTTTAAATGGGTTCTTCTAGTAAGATACCTCACTTTATACAATCAATGTAAGTAACAAAAATCTTAAAATTGCTAAAGAAAAAGTTAATATTTCTGCACTAAGTTCCTTGATCCAGCTATGTGGCCTAATTAGACAGTGATTTAATTTTATAGCTTGACCCCTCGGTCTGCTCCTCAGTTTGCTAAGTCCTATTTCAATTATCTGATGTAAGTTTGGAATAAATCTGTTAATAGTGAGGAGGAGGTTGTAACATGGCACACACAGAATTAATTCATTACTTCACTTTCTTAAAAAAGTAATTAATGCCGACTTTTCCACCATGCTACTATCAGAACCACCAGGTAACCTCAATTGTTCAGGTGCTGTCCCTCAACTAACTTCAGTCTCTCCCAGCCCAGGAGCCTGTCCACCACCAGCTCACTAAGCTGCATATGTATAGATAACCACAGTATCCGACGGGGTCATCTGCCCACACCCAAGTTCAAATAAACTGTCAAGTCTTTTCAATGGCAGGGTCTGATGGGGTGATTGACCACTGACAACCACTCATCCTTGATGCGTCTACTGGGGCACAGACGAGCAGTGATTCTTTCCTGGGGTGCAAAGGGCACATTTTCCCTCCTAACCTAGAATTAGAGTCATATTATCTCACTTGCAGGAAGGATCATCAGAGTCCACCTGGTTGTATGAATACGGCCGGTCAGGTTGCCCAACCCAGCTGCATCCTCCTCCATTCAAGCCCCAGATCTAGAGTCTTCCTTCAATGGCAATGGGGACTCTGCAAGGAGAGAAGGGAGCAGCTGCAGTAGCAGGACTGAAGGAAATGTGATTAACATGCATTCAACTCTGCCTGGTCATGCCTGCCCTGTCACAGGGCGTGTGTCCACAAGTCTTTGCCCTATAAAGCTGGAATGGTCTGATGAAAGCAACTAACAGATGCAAATTGCACAAAAATATAGAGATTCCTCTCTGCAATTAGCATGTATTTATGTTCTTGATCAGAAAAAAAAAAACATATATGCCATTGTTTTTAAAATTAATTCTTTTGCAAAGCAAATGCATGGGGAATATTAATCTCTTTTCACTGAATAATATTGGTAAAACATCATTTGCTTTGCTAACGCCCATCTCAAACCTAATTTTTAGAAGGTGTTGCATCAGTCCTGTTCTTACTTGTTGCTGCACCATTTACAAATTGTCCTTTGTGGAAGCTAGTGACCAGGGAGGTAGCCCTCATCTATTAATGAACTGTCTTGGAATTTTCCCAGAAGTCTGATCAAGTATCAAGAATAGGAAATCAATCAAAGGTTGCCACACCTTCATATGCATGCGCAACCATGCTATTAATGCCATATCCCAACAACAAGATCCCAGAGTTAAGATCCAAATTCAGTAGCTGGTAAGGAATAGCCATGTATATTGCAAATGAGATCCATTTGACTTAAAAGCATAATAGTCACTCTTAAAATGACTGTATATTTGACTGTTATAAAAACTTTGCTAATAAAACCTTGTTTCCAGAAACAGCCATGACAGGTTGTTCTATAAGAATCTGATTTATTAATAACAAAATTTATGGAGTGAGGAGAAAAGCAATACATATTTTCCTTGCCTGGCTTCATTTTTCTGTAATATCTTAGTGATGAGTCTCCCGCTGGCAGGCATTCTGTAGCCAAGAGGAATAAATAAGACACCAAGGTTCAGACTGTGAAGTTCTCTTCTCCCCCATTCCTTAGCAGTTCAGCAAGTCAGACCTGCAGATTTTCTTCCCTCAGTTATGAAAGAAACAGTTTGTCGCCCCACGTCCCCATGCATCTCTTCTTTGTCTCATGCTGATCAGTGCAGAGTTGGACACAAATAAAGTTTCTGTTGTCTTTTAACTTGGTCAAGGATGAGTCTTCCCACCCTTGCTTGAGTCACCAACACCCAATTATATTCTTTGGACAAAAGTGCTGCCCAGTGGGAAAGTCATCATCCAACAATCCTACAATTGGATCACAAGCTAGTCCCCCTCACTGACAATGTAACCAGTCCTCAAGTGAGTGCCTAGCATAGTTCTCAAAGCTTAAATAAAATACTCCTTTTCAGAAAGGTTCATGGGTGAACTCTATCCCTTTAAGTATATTAGAGTTCTTTGAGAAGCCCTATAGCACCAAACCCCAGTCCTGCACAAATTAGGGGCTCAATGTATTTGTTAAATGATGAGTTTATGTCTTTCATTGGTGGTGAATAGAAATCACTAGGATGAGCAAGCATAACTCTCCTAAAATACTGATCTGAACTAGAGGATGATTAAACTGAAAATTACCAAACACTTTCAGGATCACTAAATTCTACCACATTGATTTAATGAGAGCTCATTGATAGATATATGTATATTGTCGCCCCATGGCCTGGTGATTAAGGCAGCCAGATCCCACATGGCCAACCACAAGGCTTGAGTCCTTGTCCCAGGGGCCTGAGAAACACATGAACATATGCATGCCCCAAGTCCCCAAAGGAGAGAGACACAGAGGATAAGAGATTGAGGTATGACCATTCCTCATCGGGGGTAGGGGGCTTTCTCCTTCTTTCCATTTCTGTCTGTCTGGCAAACACACATGCCCTCTAACAAAAAAGAAAGGGCAAGGAAAAAAGACCTCACCACTAACATTTCAGAAGTAATTTCTTTTTACTAATTTCTAAAGAAGTTTATAAATTGCCCCCCCAGGAATAGAATTTCTGACCTTAAAATATGCTTAGTTTTAAATATGCATATGTATTAAGAAACAGTAAGGACTGTGCTTACTTCTTCGTACTTCCCACTGCCTTGCTCTGTGCCTTGTGAATGAGTTTTCTAACTAATGATCGATGAATGTTTCATAGATGGGACTAAACCAGAGGCTTTCAAAGAAGACAACATTCCACTGAGGGCAGTAGCACTACCCCAGGGCCAGCCTCTCCTCTGCAGACTTTCCATTTTCCTTTCCTCTGACTGTATTTCAGCATTAGTGACTCCCCACTCAATCCAAACAAGTAGCAGATTTATTATACTGTAATTTATTCCTGACTCTCAAAGATCTCACCCCATCTGATTTGAATTCCATTATTCATTCTCACAAGTTCTTATCCATTTTTTAGAAAAAAAAATTAATACATCTTGATGCAAGCAGTGTGGCCACATCTGTTTACTTCACCAAATACCAAGTGGATTTTTCGCTTAAAATTGCCAAAGCTGAAATTGCATTGAAAATATCTTACACAAGCCTGTTTATCAAATGTCAAATGCTAAATATATGCTGCTCCAGAATACTTGTCCTTCAGTGGGAAGACACTTAGCAACCTGACATAACTACTAGTTTCCCATAAGGAGAGAGAGAGAAGTCTTCAGTAAAATGTGAAAGCTGGTGTAAGTGATGTCTACAGTGGTTAGAGAAAATCTCCAAATCAGTTGGCAGGAACAGTATTAAACTCAGATAAAGTACATGTATTTCACCTTTAAAGCATATAAACAGTTCAAGACTTAGGTATCTAATCTTAGGTAACAAGTCTGATCATAAGTAGGACATATTAAAGCTCTCCATTTCATCATTTCATTTCTTGAAATCTTAACTGTTTATAAAGATAATTAAGAGGGTTTCCAGTTCTAAACATACTGCACTTATATTTCCTAATAAAAGCCATTTATTCAACCTAGTTTAGTAGAAGTTACAAGTTAGGTTGAAAGATAAAGCATTGAGAACCAGAACAAAGAAAACTATAACCCAAATGGCAGGGAGGGTGGTCCTAGTGCTAAAAGTTCAGAGAAAATTTCTTAGGCCTTATTCTTAGGTCACAAAATTATAGATAATTAGCATATATTCCACACATAGATACACGTAGAACAAGCAGATTCCAAGTATTGTAGGTAAGGTAAGGACTTTACTGGCAACACACTTTCCTAACAGGCAACACAGGAAGAATTTCACCCTTTTCCATGAGAGCTACTGCTACATTCACAGCCAATTTCATCTAATTTGTTGGTAATCAACAACTGGTGAGTATATACTTTCTTCAAGCTTACTATATTCTGGAAATAATTATACTGGGTTTCTGAGAAAGTCATGACACATTTATATATATATATATAACTATACCACAAATTTTCCAACAACCTGAAAGTATATAAAGTATATTTTTATTGTAAAGTATTTTTTTTATTGCTATAGGTCTCCCACAAGCAATCTGAAAATATCCTATTTAAATTGGCAGGGCATTGACTCAAAAAGAAAGCATCTACCATAGTAAAACCCACAAACTTTTGGGTATTCACAGAGATACTTGAGTGTCTAAGTCTTTGAGACTTCTAGAAAAGGCCTTTGTAATCATAAAGCTAATAAAGAATAGCCTGAATGCCTGCCTGAACTCAGGGCAAGGTGGAAGAGATCATTTTAAAGACAG